TTCTTTCACTCAGCATAAGAATTTGGAGATTTATTCATGATGCAGTGTGTGTCAGCAGTTCATTCCTTTTTATTGTTACATAGAATTCCATTCTATGGATATACCACAGGTTGTTTCTATTTAGTTGTTAATGGGCATTTGTGTTGGTTCTGGTATTTGACTTTATTACAAAGAGAGCTGCTATGGACATATGTAAACTGTCTTTTAATGGTTCTAGACTTAAATTTACTTGGGTAAATACCTAGGAGGGGAGTGTCTGGATCCTATATATCCTTAATTTTTGAAGGAACTGACAATTAAAAAAATAACTGCACCATTTTCCATTCCCACCTGCAATATAAGAGATTTTCAGTTCTTCCCTACTTTTGCCACTTTGGGAATAGTCAGCTTTTTAAATTTATCCATCCTAATTGTTCTGCAGTGATATTTCATTATATTTTTAAATTGTATTTCTCCAACAAGTACGAGTCTACGTCTTTGCCTGTCTTATTTGCCGTCCTTAATCTGCTTTGACATAGCGTCAGTGTACATCTTTTCCCTATTGCTTCTTGGGTATTTGTGTTCTTACTGAGTTTTGAAAGTTCTTTTATAGATTCTGGATACAAATCTTTTATCTTATTTATACTTTGCAGATACTTTCTCCCAGCCCATGGCTTGTCTCGTCACTGTCTTAATGAGGCCTTTTAAAGAGCAGACATTTTTTATTTTGATATAGTCCATTTTATCAATTTGTCCCTTTGTGGACCTTGCTTTCGGTGCAACCCAAATCACAAAGGTTTTCTCTGGGATTGTCTTCTAGAATTTTTAAAGTTTGTATTTACATTTCAGTATGTGATTCATTTTGAGGTAATATTTGTATTTAGTACAAGTATGGCTAAAGTTCCTTTTTTTATTTTTGCATATGGACATACAGTTGTTCCGGCACATCTGTTAAAAATACCATCCTTTCTCCACTGTACCTTTGTTGAAAATTAGTTGTCCTTATATATGTGGGCCTATTTCTAGAAACCCTCCTTGCTCCATTGGTCTATTAGTCTGTTTGACACTAATACCATATTGTGTTGATTACCATAATTTTACTGTAAGTCTTAAAATTAGGTAGTGTTAGTCTTCCAAATTTATTTTCAAAATTGTTAGACTGTTCTCATTGTTTAGTATTTCCACGTAAATTTTAGAATCAGAGTTTCAGTTTATATTTAAAAAGAAAACCTACTGTGATTCTGATTACAGTAGAGTATAGATCAATTTGAGGAGAATTAATATCTTAGCAATTTTGAGACTTTCAAACCATGATCACGATAAATATCTTTCTTTCTCAGGAGTATTTTGTACTTTTCAGTGTACAGGTCATGGATATCTTATGTCAGATTTATCCCTAAATAATTCATATTTTTCATTCTGTCATATATGGTATTTAAGTCTTTTTCAGTTTCCAATGATTATTTATATAGAAGTATAAATAATTTGTATATTGACCTTGTGTCCTCCAAACTTGCTAAGCTCATTTAATAGTTCCAGTAGTTTTGTTGTTATTTTGTTTTTTGATGTGTGTTTTGGTTTGTTTTTTGTTTTTCTGGTGTGTGTGTGGATTTTTTTGGACTTTCTACATACACAGTAATGTCTTTTGGAAGTAAAGGCAGTTTTACCTCTTCCTTACAAATCTAGTTGCCCTTTATTTCTTTTTCTTGCTTTATTACACCGGCTGTAAGCCCTGTACAATGTTAAATAGAAGTAGAGAACAGAGTTGTTTCTCTCGCTAAACTTATTGGGAAAACAGTCTTTCACCAAGTATAATATTAATTGTTTTGTCATAGGTAGCTTTTATCAGATGAATAAATTCCCTTCTATTGCTAATTTGCTGAGGTTTTGTTTTGTTTTTTAGGAATGGGTATTGAATTTTGTGAGACAATTTTTCTTTTTTGAAATAATTATATGGTTTTTCTTCTTTAAGTTTTAGGATAGTGAATTATATTGATTTTTCTAATGTTAATGCAGTCTCAATTAGTAAGATAAACCTCATTTGGTCATAGTAACTTGATACATTGTTGAATCAATTTGCTAAAATCTTGTTTAGAGGTGCCTGGGTGGCTCAGTTGGTTGGGCGGCCGGCTTCGGCTCAGGTCATGATCTCACAGCTCGTGGGTTCGAGCCCCACGTCAGACTCTATGCTGACAGCTAGCTCAGAGCCTGGAGCCCGTTTCAGAGTCTCTGTCTCCCTCTCTTTCTGACCTTCCCCTGCTCATGCTGTCTCTCTCGCTTTCAGAAATAAATAAAACGTTAAAAAAATATTTTTTAGTCTTGTTTAGACTTTTTCCAACTCTGTTCAAGAGTGATGCTGTTTTGTTTTGTTTGTTTTTTTCTCTTGAAATGTGTTTGTCTGGTTTTTGTATCAGCATAATGATGGCTTCATCGAATGAGTTGAGAAGTATTCCAACCTTTTAACTGAAATTCAACTTCTTTAAATATAGGGTTGTTCAACTTAACCTATTTCTTGAGTAAGCTTTGTAATTTTTGTCCCTCAAGGACTTTGTATTAGCGTAAAGTTGCTTATTGCCTTTTTATTATCTGTAGAATTTGGGCGATGTCTCCTTTCTCAGATTTGAACTTAATAGTTCAAATCTGAGAAATTGATTTTTCTTTATTATTTAATCGTCCCATTTTCTATGTCATTGATTTTCTTGATGCTCTTTATTATTTCTTTTCTTCTATTAAGGTTTAATTTGCTCTTTTATTTCCAGTTTCTTAGGTGAGAGCTCTGTAAGTAACATGTTCTTCTTCTAGGTAGTAATTATTATTATAATGACCTTTACTGCCAGTTCTAACATCTATTAGTTCCTGGTTGATTTCACTTGCATGGTTTTTCTCATTATAGGTCATATTCTCTCACTTACTGGAAAGCCTGGTAATATTTTATTGGATGCCAGACGATGTGAATTTTACCATGTTGAGTGCTGGATACTTTTGTATTCATACAACTATTCTTGGTATATGACACAATTAAGTTAATTGGAAACAATTTTATCTTTTCAGATACAGCTTTTAGGGTTTATTAGATGGGAATGGAATAATGTTCAGTCTAGTGCTAGTTATTCCCCGCTACTGAGTTAAGACCCTTCCATGCACTCTACCCAATGTATCGTGAACTATGAAGTTCAAATCTGATTGATGAGAATAAGCACTATTTACCCTGTATGAGTGGTGGGCACTGTTCTGCTTCTTTCTCCAGCCTTGGATAGTTTCCTTATATGCCTGTGCTGATCAGTACTTCTCTGAATAGTTATGGCAGCCTTCTGCAGATCTCCAGAACTCTCTCTCTCTTTGTGCATCTCTCTTTTCTAAAGTTCTCTCTCCTGCAAACTCTACCTGCTTTGGACTCCCTGAACTCTTAGTTTCTTGTCCTGAATTTAAGGTGCCTGTCATCCTGTGACTGATTTCCTCCTCCCTGATTAAACTGTTCTCTTCAATCAGATCGCTGCTCAAATATCACCTCCTCAGAAAGCCTTACTCTGATTAATACAGCTCCACTCCCCTCTCACTCTGTTTTATTATATATTTACCTTTTTATTGTCTGTCTCTCCTCACGATAATAAGGCCCACTGCTGATCTTGTATGTGTACCTAACCGGATTTCATGCTCATGTGTATCAAATATCCACATAAACGTTCATAATAGCCCAGCATTGGAAACAGTCCAAATGTTTATCATTACTATACAGCAGTGAAAATGAATAAACTATAGTACATGCGGCAACATGGATGAATCCCAGAAATAGAATGTTGACAAATGGAGCCAGACACAGAAAGTGCCATGTTGTTGAAACAGGGAAAACCAAACAATAATGTTCGAATTTGAAGTACTGGTTGCATTTATGATACAAATTTTTCCCAGTCAGGGGGTCCCAGAGTGGTCTTCTGAGGTTTTTTCCCTTGAGCTGGGTGGAGAAATTGGTTGAGTGAAATCAGTTGAGTCCGATATTGTCTCCTCTGTAAAACCTTTCCTAATTCCATGAACAGGTGGTCACTGTGTCTTCTCTGAACTAACAGTAGAACAATTATACTGTAATTATTACATTTTCCAAAGGAAGGGGTCATCTTGGTTTGGTTTGGTTTTTGGCTGTTTTACTTTGAGTACCTTTGACTGGTGTCGAGCTGATGCTCTGGAGACATTTTCTGGTAGAAGGAATGAGCAAGTGCAGGAACTTCAAACAAATGAGCCGTGGGTTTCTGCAGCCCACGCCTGTGCCCTCCCATTGCCTGTTTCCAGTTGAGGACAAAGATACTATCTCCTGTTGTATCTGGAGAGCCAAGGTTTGTTGGCACCTGCTTGTCATTAGAGAAGAAAAATCTTGAAACTTTTAAATCTGACCTGGAGGTCAGATGAGGTCAGACTCCTTAGATTTGGCAACCCTGCAGCTGTAGGAACAAAGTCACCTCTGCCTTCTGGTTGAGAAGTGGCCACAGGGCATACGACATAATGTCGTGTATTCACTAGGCTTCACTGTGAATATTTTCCCCACAAGCTTATGGAAGGATCCAAAAATAAATCAAAAGGATCCATCAAAAATCAATTCTCTTTGTAGGGTTTCTTCTCCTGCACAAAAATGCTGTGAAAACAAAGTAGGGAAACTCAACAGAGTACTCTTCTTTCCTTTTAATTTTGAAGATTTCAGCGAACAAGAACTTGGGTAATCAAGTGAGGAGAAGTGGAGCTTCCAGAGCAAATTGTGGGGGTCCTAGGAAGGAAAGTGCCTTCAAAGTGTGTCCTTACTGCAAGTAACTGGCCCTCAGCGGTGCTATAGCTGACTTGCAACTGATGAGTTTACATTTCTGTGCCAGGCTTTATGCAGGAACCCAGGATAGCATCTGTTCACTTTGAAAAGAATTCTGGCAATTCAGCAGCGTCTCAAAAATTTTAATGTATATTTTGATTAACACATTTTTATTGGCATATATATTCTTTTCCTCTTTTGCTAATACTACTGTGAATGTGCCTTTCTGCAGCTGTGGCGCTCCCATTCAAGTTTCCGAGGTGAAGCTGCTTTCCTTTTCATCGGGGCAACTAACCGTTTTCCTGCCTGTTGAGGTGAAGGCCATAGGGACAGAGAAGGATCATGTCCTGCCCCTGCAGGAACTGGCCATGAGGAGTCTACACCGCACTTGCCACAGTTCCCTTAAAGGTACACGAGGCTTCCCTCTTTTTCTGCCTCTTACTTGGTGAACTTGGAAATCGTGTTTTATGCTGCCTGTCCAGGCATCCATTTTTTTTTATCGCGGTAAAATTTACCATTTTACCGGTTTTAAACACCCAGTTCGGTGGCATGAAAGACATTCACACTGTTGTGCGAATTACTTTTTATAAATTAAAACAAAAAAGTTGTAATATTTTATCAGCGGCGATCTCTTCAGCACCCCCTACTGACACAGAAGAGCATTTGCTAAAATATGGCCTTCAGTCATAAAGGACAGAGGTTAAAAGTTAAACTGTGTGGTTCAGGGGCGCCTGGGCGGCTCAGTTCGTTAAGCGTCCGACTTCGGTTCAGGCCATGATCTCACAGCTCATGAGTTCGAGCCCCGCATCGGGCTCTGTGCTGTGACAGCTCAGAGCCTGGAGCCTGCTTCCAATTCTGTGTCTCCTTCTCTCTGCTTCTCCCCCAGCTCACACTCTGTCTCTCTCTCTCTCTCAAAAATAAATAAACATTAAAAAATTTTAATTTAAACTATGGTTTAAGTGAAGGAAATTGGTGTTTGGGAACATGTATCTGGTGGAAGGGAGAAGCCTGGCAGAGGCACTTTCTTTTGTAGGAAAAAAAAAATGCAAAGGTCTTATCCTCTAAGCAAACTTGGGTACCTTCTGGCAGGTTTTTTGTCAGGTGGCATCTTTACACCTAAGAAATCATACATGTAAAGGGGAAGAAATATCAGGAGTCTTCGGCAGTATCTCCACAGCCTGTTAACTCTTGGTTTGGAAAGGATTCGGCAGTACATAGAATTCATAGGTGTGGTGATGTGGGCATCAGAGACACTTTAAGAAAGCAGTAGGCCATTTTAAATAAGATACATGTCAAGTTTTTCAAATTACTAAATGTTTTGTCTTTGCTTTTTAAAAAAAAAAATCCATACAAAAACATCAACCTTCTAGAAATGGCTGATACAATGTTGAGTTGGATTTTAATACTAAACAGGAAATTGTAATTATTCACCTGTGGGTAAGTTCCGTTTTTATAAATGGTTATTGGTAAGTCCGGACAGATCGAAAGGATGATAAGATCATTTGTATTTCCTTCCCAAAGACGAGTCTGTAACTTTTAGGTTTCGCCTCATTGTGACCATTTCTCTTCTTTTCTGGATGTTTGCCATCAGTGGGAATCCAGTGTACACTTGTGCTCACAATTGCTGGGCCACCGGGATATTTTGCTTTCAATGTCGCTTTTGTATCGCTCAGGCTCAACTGAGAAGGAGGACCCCTCTTTTTTCTTTTTTAATATACTTTATTGTCAAATTGGCTTCTATACAACCCCAAGTGCTCTCCTCCATGCCCATCACACACTTTCCCATCTCCCCCGCCCCTCGTCAACCCTCAGTTTATTCTCTATATTTAAGAGTCTTTTCCTGGAGGCGCCCTCTTTATTAATGACAGCTTTATTAATGACAGCTTTATTAATGAAACAAGGAAAAGCTTGGTTTCATTATTTTTCTTTGATTTGTTTCCCGCTTTCATTCTTTTCAGTAAATAAAAGCTAGCTGGAGTAGTGTGAAATGCCCAGGCGATCTGGGAAGAACTTAATGGAAGTCAGTGTTAGTCTTCGGTGCCAGGCCTTTTTTATTCTTGGCCTCTCACAGAACGTTTTGTCAACCCTCTCTGGGTAAATTAATGCCTTTTTCATCTTTGTCCTTAAAGAATATTTGGTGTTATTCTTTTCTTGCCTCTGCCTCAGGCCAGCTTTTGTTTGCTCTTAAAAGAGCAGATTTAGGTTTCCTCTTAGTATCGAAAAAGTTAAAAAAAAAATCTTTCATTTCCAAACCATGTAGTGCCTATCAGATAACAGTTATTTTCAACATGCAGTACTTTTTAACTAACCAAATGGACTGAGTAACAAAGAAACGTATTTCAAGCCTCGTGTAAGGAAATCTGATTTTTTTTTTTTTTCTAATTCATGCCTGGTTTTCTCTTGTGTTCCAGATTTGAACTTTCTGTCTCCGATCTCGTTACCCAGAAGCCTCCTGGACCTGCTGCACTGCCCCCTGGGGCACTGTCACCGGTGTAGTGAGCCCATGTTTACGATCGTCTACCCCAAGCTCTTTCCCCTGAGAGAGACGCCGATGGCAAGGCTGCACCAGGGGTAATCATGCCTAAGTGGGCACCAGGGCTTACACCTGGGCGAGGGGCGGAGGCCGCGCAGGGAAGTGCTGTTGAATCAGCTCCTCTCAAGGTGCCCAGGGTGCTTCCTGAGATATAGCTTAAGGAAACAAAAGCACATTCTCAGCATCACAAGAAAACTGGACTTCCCTCTGTTACTTTCTTGGCCGTGTAGAGAAGAGTTTTATTGCATATATTCTTTAGAGTAGCTCATTCTTGGCCAGGAGCATTTTCCTGCTATTCCGCTATTCACAATAGTCTTGGGGCAATAAGGAATGTCAGAACAAAATATTTGTTATATAATGGGACCAGCCCAGCCCTTGTATTTAATTGGTGTTGCTAACTGAAAGTAGTACATGGCTGAACAGTGTGTGTGTGTGTGTGTGTGTGTGTGTGTGTTTCTGTTCTGAATTTCTAACACTTCCAAATGCCATTCTCTTGCCACTCTATTTCTTGGCGCAGTGCCTTGAATTTGCTAAGCATGTTCACCAAGCAAACACCCCCTATATATACTGGTAGTTTAAAAAAAGAAAACCAGACGATTAAAGTTAGGACATCAAATGAAAAATCCTCCATTAGCACAACCTTAGCATATAGATTAGAATGCCTCACGTATCCATCCAGTGGTATTTGGGGTTAGTAACTTTTTCAGAGAACTGGTTACCCGTGTTGAGTGCCAAGGAGCAGTTGCTGTGTAAGCATTTCTGTAGAAAGAGAGCGAGCCCGGGGTGGGGGGGCCCAACCTCTCCGAGCCTCAGATGGGGGAGAGAATATCATGCTGGGTGGGGCGGTCGTGAGGATTATCCAATGATGAAGGTAAATACTCGACACGTAAAGGGCCTTCAACAAGTGGCAGTTACCTTTACTATCGGTGTACCCACTCTCTCCCACAATCGCATTTCTCTCCCTCCTATCCTGAATAACCCTGTTTGTTATACTTTCAGTTCCTGTTTCCATTTTTTGTATTTTTAACGTTTCCTGCTTCATTGTGCCTGCCCGCAAGAAGCCTTCCTCCAAACCTTTTGCAATTTGCTACTTCCAGTCCCACGTGATCACATCTCCAGATTTAGCGGGATTCCATTTAGAGTGGAGTTAAAAGGACTGAGTCAGAGTCTGCGTGTATTACTTCCTACACGAATAAAATCAACAAAATGGAATAGACACAGTGGAGGAGAAGCCATAGTTGTTGCATAGCGGCCAGGTGCCCGGGCCCTGCCTCTAGCTCCTGCACTCAGAGACCTTGGGTGGAGGGGTAATATCTCTGAGCTTCATCTTTTCATTAATAAGATGAGCATAATCATAATATCTGTTTAAGGTCATCATGAGGGCAAATGAGATCATTCATGGAAAGAGCCCAGACATGTAATAAATACTAAGTAAATGGTCACTATTTTAATCTATTTTTTTTTTTAGCTCAGAGACTTTTAGAAATTTCTTGTGTGTGTGTTTAGCAAATTCTCTTCATATTAGTAAGATATCATCAAAGGATAATCTTAACTAATTCATTAAACTATCATAAAATCCTTATACATGGTACAGGTTTTTTTTTTAATATATATAGAAGACATTTTCTTACTGAAAATATGAAAATGAAAACAATTCCGTATGGTCAGGATACTCTGTCAGTAGCTGATGAAATTCTGAATACCTATTAAAAAGATAAACTTTCTGTTTATCATGGCAGTTAATTTGTGAAAATAAATGAGATAAATTAGATCCTTCAAATGGAGTCATTTTTTGTGTGTGTTATCTTTACATGATTTGGGGAGCTTATTCAGTATATGAATATTTTATTTACTGTTACTTATTTCTCTGCCACAACCTAGAAATTCAGTGTGAATAGTCTTAGATTGTTTGGGGACATAGAATATAATAGTATTAGTTTAATAAAATGAATATATCCAGGACATAGGACTTAGGCAGTGCCCCTTTGTTGAGCAAAGCCAGAAGTGCCTGTGTTTATAGCAAAGATGAAATGCCAAGACATAAACATGGCTTTCTGTGGTGAGTTAATGCTAGGGTTGAAATTGAGAGTTTGTGGCTTTCGTTTGGTCCACCAGACTTTGCTCCTTCCCATGTTGCTATGGAGATTGTATTAAAAGCATTGACTTCAGTTTCTATCATAGTCTTGAAAGTACTTTGTTTTGTAACTGAAAACCATATACTTGAATCTTAGTAGCTTGCTGCTGAAAATAAAGTCAGTATTTTTAATATCATAAACTAACTCTACAAGGTCTTGATAATATTAGTTTTAAGTTTTATAATATATTCAGTTTAGTTGGCTTTGCTTGTTGTAAAATAATACATTGTATCAGCCAATATCTAAATCATCGTGGACATCTGGCATTATTTTAAAAGAACATATTGGATATTCTTCTAAAATACCAAGTCCCATGCAAGTGTTAGTTTCAACCTAAATTTAATACAGAGTGAAGCAAAATGAAATTATAGTATTTTGCATAAACAATAGATTCCCATACCTTCAGCTATCTGTAAAAGAGAAGAATGGCTAGCGTATTCATAACTTTGAATCCTTACAGCACATTTTCATTCCCAAAACTTATTGTTCATTTATTAAAATGGAGAACATCAACTTAGAGGGTTGTTTATTATAACAACGTGTTTGGCTTTTCCCTATGCATGTGTGATTTACACAAGTTCTGTATATTCCAATAGGAAATCAGGTTATCCAAGGTTTTTCGGAGCTGTCTGTTAATTTGCTAGGAATGCCACAGCATTTAAAATGCCACAAAACCGGATGTCTTAAATAATAGGATATCCATCGTCTCACGGCTCTGAAGGCTGGAAGTCTGAAGTGGGTGTGTTGGTGGGGTAGGTTCCTTCGGACAGCTGTGAGGGAAGGGTCTGTTCCAGGCGTCTCTCCTTGGCTTGGAGATAGATGGCTGTCTTCTCCCTTTGTCTTCACATCATCTTCTCTCTCTGTCTCTCTCTGTATCTAAACTTCCCCTTCCTATAAGGACACCAGAAATACTGCATTAGGGCCCACTCTGGTGGGCTTTAATCCTTCCTCAACTAATTACACCTAAAGTGATCCTGTTTCCAAATAATGTCACTGCATTACTCTGCTCGGGCCGCCATTACTCTGCTTGGGCCGCTGTTAACTGTGCTCGGGCCGCCGTGACAACAGAAATTTATTTCCTCACAGTTCTTAGGCCAGAAGTCTGAAATTGGGGTGCACATGGTCAGGTTGTGGGGGAGAGCTTTTTCCTTGGTTTGCAGATGGCCACTTTTTGGCCGCCCCACATGGCAGAGAGCTTGTGAGCACATGCGCACAGATCAGGACTTCATCATATGAATTTGAGAGGACACACTTGAACCCCTAACAATCTGGTCCAAAAACTCATGTTCTTCTCACATGCAAAATAAATTCATCCTATCCCAACACCCCCCAAATCCTAACCAATTCCAACATCAACTCATAAGTTCAAAATCTCATCTTTTTCTTTTTAAAGTTTTATTTATTTTTGAGGGAGCGGGGGGAGGGGGGGAGAGAGAATATAATCAGGGGAAGGGCAGAGAGAGAGGGAGACAGAATTCCAAGCAGGCTCCGAGCTGTCAGTGGCTCGATCCCACAAACCATGAGATCATGACCTAAGCCGAAGTCAGACACTTCATCGGTTGTTCAGATGTTCCAGTTCAAAATCTTGTTTTAAATAACTAACTAAGTCAGGTATGGATAAAACTTGGGTATAATACTTCCTGGGGCAGGACTCCTCTCCACTCATGATCCAGGTTATCTGCTCCAATATGCAATGTTTGCACAGGCATAGGATAGACCTTCCATTGCCAAAGGGGGAACATCCAAGGGTAATGAACTCTAAACAAGTCCAGAACCTAAAAGGGCAACTTCCATTAGGTTTTCATGCTTGAGAATAACGTTCTCTGGCTAGACGCTCTGTCCTTTGGGCCCACCAGGGTGGTGGTCCTACCCCTCAGCCTTGGGTGGGGCTCTGCCCTCTAAAGCCCAGGAAGTTGCCCTTCGGGCCCGGAATTGATGAGGTTGCCCCATCCCGAGGGTCATTCTTCCCTTTTCCTCAATGGCACTATTGGCCCTTTCCTGCCTGGAGAATCCCAGGAGCCAGACAGCCCTTCTTCATTCTGGCCCATCTCTGTCCCCCTTCAGCCCAGGCTGCGTCAGCGTTTCTGCCAGAATGGTTGAGCATGCAGTCAGTTGGGCGTCTGACTTCGACTTAGGTCATGATCTCACAGTCTGTGGGTTTGAGCCCCGTGTCGGGCTCGTGCTGGCGGCTCAGAGCCTGGAGCCTGCTTCGAACTCTCTCTCTCTCTCTCTCTCTCTCTCTTTGCCCCTCCCCTGCTCGCTCTCTGTCTCTGTCTCTCAAAAGAAAATAAAAGACATTAAGAAAAATTAAAAAAAAAGAATGGTTGAGCATGTAAATTGTCATTCAGCCATACCCTTGGTGTTCTCTCCAGAGCAAGCTTTCTCATATTTTATAATATGGATAGGCTGAGAATTTTCCAAATCTTCAAGTTCCGGTTCCTTTTTGCCTAACTGGTCCCTCAACTTAGCTCCCTCCTCTAACAATGTACTGGAAGTAGCAAGGAGAAACCAGGCCACACCTTGTCCTAGACCTCGCCAAACACACCTTCAAAACTCGTATTCCTGGTGGCCTTCTGGTCATGATGATGTATGTATTCTCTAAGGCAGCAGAAGCTTTTTCCATGGCTCCCCTCTTTCCTTTGTGAGCCTCACCAGCTATGCTGTAGTGTCTTTGTCTCTGCCAACAGTTTCTTCAGGGCAGTGTAGACCTTTTTGACCATGTAGCTCAGAACTCTTCCGGTCCTCTACCCCTTAACCAATTTCAAAGCCACTTCTGGATTTTTTAAGAATTTGTTACAGCAGCTTCTTGCTTTCCAGTAGCTGAATCTGTATTAGTTAAGGGTTCTTTCAAAAAACAGAACCTAGATTTATATCTGTATATGTAGAGTGAGATTGATTGATTT